GTATTGTGTTCTATCTCATTCTCTTGCATTCTAAATGCATCAAATATGGATGTATCATCGAATTTCAAATCAAAATGATTCTAAAAAAGTTACCGATTTTAAAAATTACACCGTTTCAAAGGTCATCAATAAATAATATGGAATTAAGTTCCAGATTTGACAATAATTCAAATAAACCATTCTTAATGTCGCTGCTACCAGCAATAAAGAAATTGAAGAACAAAACTTCGAATTTCGAATGAAAGTTTATATTTATTACGAAAATATAGATATCTTCACTCAGTCTGGCCAATCTACCCAACGTCCAGCTAGACATAAATTTAAGTAACTATTACGAGGGTTATATTATACAAAGTTACACACAGCCACAAGCATCTCGTCAGTATGATTTACGTGGCAATATACAAGTACCACAACAACTAGTGGAGTATTCTCATAGGATTTGTTCACCTCAATCAGTATATTCTACATAATCTTTTGAATACATTGACGAACTGCTTCAAAACACAGCTTCAATTTAAAAACGTCGACGCATTTAAGTTACCTTCATAACTTCTATACTTTACCTAATTGTTCATTATGTTGTAGTTTCTTTGGTACACGGCTTCTAAGTGGTAAAATAAATAAAGATATAATTAATGTACATAAGTTGTTTTATTCTAAGTTGCGAAACCATCTATAGTTTACATATCGACAGTAATACTCAGAAACTATTCATAACTAACTATTGCCCGTTACTTCATCTTGCTATAGATATTTAAATTCATTGGCATCAATAATAATACATGATAGAAATCAATAAATCAATTAGATATTTATGAATAATTTCCGAGGTCAACTATCTATTAATTTATCGATTGTCATCATGAATTGTGATTGATTGTTCCGATAAAATGTATCGTATGTTACTATGTGGGTCTTTGGCGCTCCGCGCGAACATGCATCATACGATGTGAATCGCCCAAGTGCTATTGAATGGAAATTTCGTAGTGCGAAATGAATGTGGTGCAAAACTCCTAAAGACCCGACTTCGTCCGCGTGAAATTTAATTTATTACGGTGGGATTTCATGGGTTTAAATTTGTTTTGCGCGGTACCCTAATTCTTTTTTTAAAATAAAAGTAGCCAAGTTACTCCTTATAACATCGACTATCTGCCAGTGAAAGTCCCGTCAAAATCGGTTTAGCTATTTTGGATATTAGCTGAAACAAACACTGACAAAAAATATAAAAAAAAGTTATAAGTACCGTAGATATTCATTCAGAGTCCCTTCAATTTTATTTATATTTGTATTTATAGATTTTAGCGGTTGGAGGTCGCAACCATACACAGTGACTGACCGATATTCTCAATCTCGTCCCTCAACCGGCGGTATACCCACAGGCTACGCTTGGACAACTCTAAGAATAATAAAAGCCGTAGTAATAGCTATAATTATATTAGATGTAATACTTAACTTAAAGTAACTGTCAGCCTCTCTTCTGGAGTAATTGCATTTTGAAAGAACTTCATCGAAATAATTAATTGAATACTTGTAGAATTTATCCGATAGATTCTGCATACATGCAATTAAATTACCTGATATGTATTCTTTTAGGATTTAACCTTTTGAGCGCCACGCCAAAAACGCATTACCGTGTCCTGTACGCCAAAGCGAAAATTGAAGAAAAATATCTACGAAAAAATAGTGTTGCCAAGAGTTCATATATCGATAACACAAAATAACTTGATTTTGTTGGTTTTTTATGCAATAAATGACTTTATAATCTGGTATATTTTATTTAATCTTGTGCTGTCTTCCACTCTTTTTATATATGTACTTTGTACATAAATAAAAACAAACAATAACAATAAAATAATAGTAAACCACAACACTATTCTTCATTGTGATGACGTCACTGTCACGACTGGACGACAACGGCGTAGCTGACTTTCCTTTTTGAAACTTTCTTAGAGATGTAGCCGTGTCGCTCGTTGTGTATCGATTTTGAAATCGATCTAACCAAAATGTACCGAGATCGACTCAAAATATTTTATGTGTCAGGGGAGGCGTAGGCCAAGTGAAGCACATAAGAAAAGTCTTACCTCTTATAACAATGGGGGTTTGATATGATGCTGATGCTACCAGATGATTTTGAGATAATCATAATCATAATCTTTATTGCAATCAAATGGTAACAATAGATGTGATGTTTTATAAAAATAGTCCACATTATTTGAACACAGTTTGGGCGTAGCAATTACAAAAATATTAAATATTATTTTTAAACTACAATATTTTTATAAATAAATTATATTATTCTAAAATTCTGTAAATTTAATTAAATTAATAATCACAATGTCAAGTAAAAAATTAGTATTATTATTATAAATAGAAATAAAATTAAGTAAAAAATAATAATTGAATAAAAAAATTAAATTAAATTAGATAGGCACAGGCCGAAGTTGTCCACACAAATTAAATAATATTTGTATCAAAATATTCATTTAAATTATAGAAACATTTTTCAATTAAATATAACTTTAATTTGGATAAAAATAATGTAGTACTCGTTAAATTTTTTATGTCATTTAGAAGGTTATTAAAAATTTTAACTGCCATACAGTAGGGACTAGAGCTATGCAAAGCAAGAGTTGATTTCGGCAATAGTAGCCTATTTTTATTTGGTCTAATTGAGTATTTGTAATTCTTAATTTTAAATTTTCTGGGTGGTTCTTTTACAAATTTGCATGTTTCCCAAATATAAATAGTCGTCGACGACGTCGACTGACGTCAAAGTCAAAATTTTAAACTTTTTGAAGTGGGTCTTACAACTTTCTGGAATATTTATGTTTGCCAAGATTCTTATAATTTTTTTGCATTATAAATAATTGCTAACAATTGTATGACAGCCACGAAGATGTGTATGCATAATATGCTGACAGAGCGCTGGGGACATCTGTGGTTTGTTTATTTCTCGTAATACGTAAGTGAATTATGATAGCCTATTTTTTACTTTATTTATATGGGCTTTCCAGTTTATACGGCTGTCGATTTCCAGGCCTAACAAGTTGAAGTTTTCAACAGTTCCTATAGGTATATTATTATAAGTAAAAGCGATATTTAGTGGTGATTTTGGAACTGGTCGGAATTGCATAATTTTGGTTTTATTAAAATTAATCTCTAGGTTGTGATGTGTTGATGTGTACCAATTTGTAACCTGGTTCAATACTTAATTCAATTTATTATTTAAATTCTGGTCTTTTGTATGCGGAATAAGAATGGAAATTTCATCACCAAATATGATAGAGGTTTCAGTCAATACCCTAGATTGAGAAATAAAATCGCACAACACAAAATATAAAATTGTTCTTCATATCTTAAGAAAAAAATTACCATTTATTATTCGTAATGTTATATTATTAAAATACAAAAAGTCATCATCATCGACGCTTTCCAAAATGCGAATGAGTTCTGAGGAATCGTTCATGTTGCACTGCACTACTTTTTCCGCAATTCGTTTATGACGTCATCAGGGTGTCGTCTATCCTTGACCACGGCGCCCAATGAACTGATAATCGATGACGCGCTAAGGATGCGCCAGAGTTGAGATATTAGATTTATTATGCGAAGTTGATTTGATGAAATTTTCTTTTATTTATGTAGCTGATGATATTTTTATGTTTCTTACCTTTTGTTTTATTCAAATATCAATGATAATTATAAAAAATAACACGTTTGCGTTTAATTTTGAATAGTTTTCAATAAATCCATGCCTAACGTATTACAACACTAGCGGTCAAACATAGACGACTTTGGTGTGCTGGACATAGTATTTGCTTAGATAAAATCCATTTTTTTAGTGCAATGTTTCTTAGTACTTGTGGCTATAGGAGACTTGTTTTTTATACTCACATATTGCTGGGTTATTCTTTTTTGAGGAGTGTAGAATTAAAATACCAGTAATAATTTTCCAATATCTATATTTCATATTTTTGTGGGCCGGGTTTTTTTTGTCAACTGTAGACGTCGTTGGCGCTCAGGGCCCCGCAGGTGTTGGTCAAGTATAGGCGACTTTGGCGCTTAAAAGGTTAAAGGAAGCACCCAATTTTCTTTTATTTTGTCGTTAAACTTTCCACATAGCAATTACTTCTACAGGTTTTACTTTAATCACTTTACACAAACGTCCTGTATCACAAACGCTTACTAAAAGAACATACGTTGAAGTGTGGCAGGTACACTCTAGCGTAAATTACGCGATGAAAGTTTGGCGACGTAAATTCCGTCAGATGTGGCTAGGCCCTTAAAGACAATTTCTATTTATGAATACTAATATAATACTTGTATACCTCAGCACAAAGATTTTGTATTCTCTATTAAGTGTAGGAGACAAAATATTGAAAATTAGTGACTGTTATATGAATTGGCTTTCAATTTGTTTTTTTTTTTCATATAATTATGATAAATGAGCATACAGCCCATAGACATCTACATCTATTCTCGTGTCGTATCATTCTATTTACCACGCCCTCACGGAATACTAGCGTAAAATAGCAGTTTAAAACTGATGTGTTTCGTATGGTGAGTGTAGAGAACCGTAAACCCTTTTTACTGGAAACGAGGTATTCCAACTTAGTCCTCACGGGTGACAACGTATCTGCATTTCGATTCGTAACCGAGGAAATATGTAGATGTCTATGGGCTAAACAACCACTTGCCATCACGTGGAGAGTGTGTTAGATTGTCACACTTATTATATAAAAAACATTCCCGGTTAAGAATCAAAATGCAGATGTGTTGTCACCCTGGAGGACTAAGATGGAATGATTTTCTACACTTACCATACGAAATCGCTGTACGAAATCGAAACATATTGCACTTTTATTCTGGTATTCTGTGAAAGCGAGATCTTTTCCCGGTCGACATATTCATATTATATTATGTATATTCGTTAATTTTAATTATATGCTTTTAAACATTGTGAATATGTAAAACGTAACATATACAATTCATTTATTAAGATTCCAGTCTCAGAATGTACGAGACGTTATCAACTCTACAATGAAGGAGCAATTGATGGGACGGCAGTATCGGGCAGACCAAGCGCCGAAATGGGCGAAGTCGATTGCAAATGCTGTGCGTATGAGAGTGCAGGAGCTTGATATGAAAAGGTGAGATTCATCAACAACCGTCTTATATTTACCCACAACTTATAGTAAAATCAGCATCACTGCCAAATATTGTTTATTTTTATAGAAGAGGGGGCAAACGAGCATACTGTTCACCTGATATTAAGTGACTATGGTTCATAAAAGATAGCTTGATCTCTGCTACAGTTGTCAGTAAAAATCACGCCTATGAAGTCCTGAATTTCTTAGTAGTACAGACAGTACCTGTCAATGTCATACTTTATGGGCATGCACTAATTAGGTCGGCATGCCCATAAAGTATGACATGGACATGTACTGTCTGTACTACTAAGAAAGTCAGGACTTCATAGGCGTGATCTTACTGATAGCTGTCGCAGAGATCAAGCTATCTTTTATGAACTATACAGCCGCCCATGAACATCCGCAACACCAGAGGAATTGCAGGTGCGTTGCCGGCTCTTTAGAAAGGAGTAAGCTCTTTATTGTATAGCTTTGATTGCATTAAGCATACCCATTTGCATCTGATCAAAATTTATCCAATTAGCTGTAATACTGGAGACTGAATTATTTGACATCCAGATGTCATGGTACTTGCTGGACTACCTTTAGCTTTTAATCTTCTCTACATATAAAAATCAATTGCTGACCGTTAGTCTCGCTAAAACTCGAAAATGGCTCGACTGATTTTGACAAAAAAAATTTGTAATGATTTCTTAAATAATAGTAAGTTCGTTTTGCGTAAATCGGACCAAAAATTGATATTCAAAAACTGAAGGTAGCCGGGCTAACAATGACATTGGGACGTCAAACATCTCAGTCCCCCCCGTGACCATGGGTGCTGTAAAGCACCCGAAACGTCGGGAATTAAAAATAAGTAAAATCAGTTAAATAAACGCGATAGAATACGTAAATTTAGTTTTATTCAAAAAATTTTGTGTGTGTTTGTGTGGGTCCATCCTTTTGCGAGATCCAGAAATCACTCATGCGAAGCCGAATCGCTTGTTATTATGTCCTGCACTCACGCAAGGATCATTGGCAGCAGCATTACGCTGCTATTTTACACTGGTATTTTGTAAGAGGGTTTAGGGCAAGGAAGTGTCCGCCGCGCTGCCCAAATGCGTGTTGGCGAACTTCACATGTCTTCGAAATATTTTTATTCTTATTCCTCAGACATGTAGGTTTCCTCACGATGTTTTCCTTCACCGCCGAGCACGTGGTAAATCAGCACTTAAAATTGCAATTAACAATTTCATTGGTGCCGGCGTGGATCGAACCCGGGTTACTCGCGTTCTGTTTACATATTTACAGCGAGCGTTAACCACTGAGCTACCACGGCTCTGCCCTCTCAGAAATGAGGGGAGGCCTGAGCCCAGCAGTGGGACGTATATAGGCTGTAACTTTACTTTACTTTTTATTCTGTAAGAGTGTGGTTCTGCCCCGGTCGAGCCGACCCATTCGTGCTACAACTATAATATAGCTGCAGCGTGGCACTATCACTGACAAAATTTTTCGATAATTCTTCACAGCCTGTAATATATAATATGTAACGTAATTAACGCACACCCTCAGACACCCCAATTACTACATTATGTTATAATCATAATATATAATACAATTCCACGAACGCAGACTTTAACGTGCTTGAAATAAAGTTCATTTTTCTTTATTTTTATTGAATGCCAGAATTAGTAATAATACAAATAAAACTGCACTCTTAAAAGTCTTACTGCCTTAAGTTACGGTCCATTTCAGTTTGTTTTGGCTGTACAGATTTAGTGTGACTGTAATTTACGTAGTTTTAATTATTTTTGGGATAAAAAATTACCTATATTAAAAATGATAGGAATCGATTCAGTAAACGATTTTGAACAAACAAACTACTTTCTCAAAGTGCGTTAATTGTGTTACGTGTTGTATAATGCTTCACAGTCGGTAATATACAACATGTAATAAAAACCCTGTGGTTCCCGTTAAGTGCGTTATCAGAATCAGTATTCAAGCGTATAGAAATATTTTTTTTCAAAAAAAAAAAAAAAACATTAAAAAAATTAATTTTATTTAAAACAAAGTAATTTGCAAATTGTATGTGGTTTTATTACCTCTGCATTGGCCGAGGAGTAGGAGGATCGTCAAAGACTTATAGACTCGTCAAAGACTTATAGACTTACCGATACTCGTGTGAGTTAGAGGAAATAAAACCACATACAATTTGCAAATTAATTTTTTGAAATTAAAATTAATTTTTTTAAGTATGTTTTTTTAAATTTCTATACGCTTGAATACTGATTCTGATAACGCAGTTAACGGGAACCACAGGGTTTTTGTTACATGTTGTATAATGCTTCACAGCCGGTATAAATTGGCTTTCTATGTCTTACTGAACACAGAAGTGAACGCATGCTTTTTGTAACATTTTATATTATATTATTAATTTATATTATATTACAGTTTAATAGTTTATAATAAAAATAATACTATTTTGCTGCCAAACCACACACATGTGTTTATTGTTTTCTTGCAATCCGGTCCATCTAAAGGTTGTCTGTAAGAGATCGCTTTTACTGTTAAAACCACTTATTGTACCACATTTCTTTTTCTCCTTTTTGTTCATATTTATATATATTTGGAATACAATAAAGTGTTATCTATCTATCTATCTACTCCAAGGTAGAAAAGACCACTCATTGTACCACATTTCTTTTTTCTCCTTTTTTGTTCATATTTATATATATTTGGAATACAATAAAGTGTTCTCTATCTATCTATCTACTACAAGGTAGAAAATACCACTTATTGTACCACATTTCTTTTTTCTCCTTTTTTGTTCATATTTATACATATATATTTGGAATGCAATAAAGTGTTATCTATCTATCTACTCCTGCGTACAAAAGGAGTCCTGCCATGTAATAATTCGGCTAAAAGTTATATTTAATTCAAAATTAGAATTTCGGCTAATATACTCATAGATATTTTGTTTTCGAATTTAAGGTACAAAATTCTAGTACAATCAACTATAATAGAAATGAAGGGAGCTGGAGTAAAGTGTGGGCAGCGGTGCATCTGGGATCCCGAGACTGATGACTATGTGGACGATTTGTATAGAAATGATACTATGTTCTGTTATACAATCGTATATGGAGTTTATATGTACTGAATGTGATATTTGTGACAAATTAGTTGCAAATGTTTTTACTAGTACATAAAAATAAAGTGCACTTAGTACATTAAGATATGTAATGATGATGATGGAGTTACTCTGGTTGTTTTCATTTAGAGACTGAACCTTTGAGTTTTTTTTATACTAGCAATGATGGCTAACGAGTGCACATTCAACCTGATGATATGTGGAAGCTGTGGTTCTTATGTAGGTGTAGATGTTCCAAAAATACGTTGTCACCCCTGAGGACTAAGACGGTATACTTAGTTACCGGTAAAAATTGTTTTCGGTTCCGTTACCTATCACATGAAATATAGCAGGAAAATGTTAGGAATTAATGCTGACTTGAGGTCGTATTCCTTCCCCGGTTAAGTTTGCAGTCACAAAACAGCTACATCATGGCCGTACCACGTATGAAGTTGTGGTGTCACATATTTTTATACGAATACTGCTGAACAAAATTAGAGAGATATACATTAGAGGAGAACGAGGGAGAATTCTTGAAATGCGAAATGAGATATGATTGAGGAATTTCTCGAAATGAGATATTGCTCCTTATATATGTATTAATTTTTTGCAAAAAGTAATTTTTGATGTTTGTAGTTAAAAATCTATAGAAGAGTTATGTTAAAATTTTTAAACTTAATGATGTTAACAATTAATTAGCTGAGATACGCGTAAAAAAATAATATTAAAATGATGTTTATTTTTGACATCTTTAATACAAGTCTAAGAGAAGTCGGCGCACAAGTACCGAAAAATATTCCACCTCATTTTTATTAATGTCTCTTCAAATTGTCCCACTGATGAGTCATTGAAGCTTTTTATTAATATTCTATCAAAAAATATAACAAAAGTTTGTCCGTGTTTGAAAGTAACAATTCTTGCAATTGTTTAAACAATTTCGGCTAACACAGTATGGCACCGGGTTGCCCCATGGCAACATGCATTTATATTATCAGTAGGATAATTTCAAGATAATGTGTCGAATCCTCCTGGACTATATAATGGATTTCCGCAAAGTAACGCCTGATTCTGTTTGGTAATTTAAAAAAATCCAAATTGTCAACTGTACATTCAGGCGATTGTTTCGGTTAGTTTGTACTAACCAACTTTGTTGTACTGTATTGTGTGGCCTATTTTAATTTTAATGATGAAATACAGATCAATTGGTATTTGACTTTTTAGCTATGAACTGTTACCCTAAAAATATTATTCAAAACGAAGTTTTATAAGGATGTAAAATTTTTCGCAGAAATAAATTTTAAAATCTTGTAAAGTGTGTGTTTATTAACGTCCTGAATCATCCCACTGTATCCATCCTTTACAGTTTATAAAAGTCCACTGCTGAAGGTCCTTCTCCTATAGATTATCTCATAGGGACATATTGATTGTAGTAACCACGCAGGCGGGTTGGCAAATGCGGTTTATTGTTTTGTTGTTTTTTTTAAATAAAATACCAACAATGCTGTTAACATTACTAATATTCCCTTTAACCACTCCTTGTAAGCTTAAAATGCTTGAGGAAGGGAAGTGGTTCACGACAGTAGTCGAGTGGCGGATTCGAACCCACGACCTTTTGAGTTCGCGGTCCGTATCCTGCCATTAGGCTACTGTCGTTTCAAAAGTTTTTATCACAGGTGCTGCTCAACTCTTGATTTAGTTTCTCTCTTTTGCATCTTAAAACACTCACAGGACAATATGGTGTTAGTTTCTGATGATCTTAATGCTGTTAGCCTTTTGGCTTCTACAGCTTCATAGGTCCCAGGGCCCGCGGCATTACAGGTAAAAAGTGAATTTAAATCATTCAGCACCGGTTCTTTCGTAACGATGACTCCTATGACAGTGTATAGTACACCTGGATGAGTTATCTAACGGCCGTCTGAACAGGGGGGGTGACGGGCCCCGGCTCTAACGGCTAATTCGTGTCGTTCGATGTTCTGGGCGGTGAGAACCGCCCAGCGACGCGGGTATACGGTGTGTACGCGGTGTGAAGTGGTGTGCGGCGCGCTCGTCTGCGGACTCGCTGTGTCCCATCGTTGGCCTAACAGTGTTTGTGGCACTAAATAAATGTGTAGTGTCTATGTAAGGCGGGCTGTGTATTTGTGTCGTCGGAATCTAGCAGTAAGATATGGGGTAATTGATCTTAAACCGCCATCTATACTAATCTACACAGGATTATTTTTCAGAGTAGCCATTTTTTAAACTTAAGTTTAAATATATAAATAATGATATACCGTTATTGTAGTTTTTGAAAATACGAGTAAATAAGGCTTCTATTTTTATTAATTGAAATTATCCCAATTGAATGTGATTTACGGGCAACACAACGTTTGTACGTACCGATCAGCGCTGCCATTTACACGGCAATTGCCGTGTTTCATGGCAATTTTGGTCTGTTCAGCAATAAAACACGGTACACGGCAATATAATGGTTACTAATTTTTCCGAAAATTTTATCGGTAGTTGATAAGTCATTATAACGCACATCACTAGATGTAATCATGACTATGAGCGGGGAAATTCCGACGCGGATTCGACATACATTCGCGCACACTTCATTGTTTATCGTATTCATTTCATTCTTTCGATTTTTTGAAAAGTACATAAAAGATATGCTGCTGTTTATTTACTTTATTTAACTTTACTAGCTAAGCACTTTATCCGATCCCAAGGAAATTTTGTGAATTTCAAACCGATAAAACAAAATATGATAGACAATATGAAGAAAATTAATAAATACAGATTTAGCGCTTATTACATTATACAATTTTTAGAAAATCTAATTAGGAACCTAAATTGGAAGCTAGTGATCACATTATACTAAATTGAATTCTAAATCGTGATGAAGCGCATTCGTAAAGAAGTATCGACGGGGTTGCACGTTTGATCGTTGGCGCCGTATTTATCAAAACAGCAGAAAATAGGACTTGCTTTAGCCGTGGCGGGAACAATGGATATTAAAAAAAGAGAAAAGAGAACTTGTCATTGAAAAAAAAAAACTGTCCAATATGAATATAATTATATATTTTTAGATTCTAAGCAGTTTTTTTTTATAGGATAGGGTGACAAACTAGCACACAGTCCACCTGATGGTAAGTGGTTGCTGCGGCCCATGGACATCTACATCTATCTCCGATTACAAATCAAAATGCAGATGCGTTGTCACCTGTGACGACTAAGATGGAATGCCTCGTTTCCAGTAAAAAGGGTCTCCGGGTCTCTACACTCGCCATTAAGCTACTATTTTACGTTGGTATTCTGTGAGACCGTGGTGCTTCTTCGGTCGAGCCGACCCATTCGTGCTACAACTATACTACTAATATAACTGCAGCATGGCTCTACCACCTATAAAACAGTTTGATTATTTGTTAAGTTTGGTATCCAAACATATTGAAAAAGAAGTCACGATATTTCGATAAATGTGAGTGCCAAAGAATTCTATCAAATCTTCAAGACATCCACTTGTATCAAAGCGCGGGCGCCGACTGGTTGTTCTAAATCGTAACGTTGCGATTACACTGTCCTAAATTGTAAATAATTTAGGAAGTAGAGCGTTCGGGACCTCCAATTTGACTAAATAGGATCCTAACTGTTCTAACTACGATTACACCTTCCTACTTCCTAATTAGATTTTCTAAAAATTGTATAATGTAATAAGCGCTTTTGGATACGATAAGAAATTTGTATGATGACTGTGAAGAGTAATGTTTTTATGTCATGTTTAATTTTACGTGTTAATTTAAAATAAATAAAAATGTACACAGCAATTTTGTAGTTTTTATTCTAAAACATGGAAATCCAGATCCCAAAACACGGCAACTTAAAATTTCGAAATGGCAACATTGGTACCGATCGACCCTTACAAAAGTATGCGTTTAAAAGATAAAAACATGATGAAAAGGCCAGTTTGAGATTTTTTTTAATTAATTTTTTTTCGCCATTTGCCTATAATTACTTATTCTGAACCTTCTCTGCAAATTAGAACGGTTATTGTAAAATAACCCTGTATATGATCGGTTAAAACTCATGAGAATCAGATCGTAAGTCTATTGAAAGTGTTACGACTTATGGCACGTTTAGATTATCGGCACGAGCAACTCGCCGAGTTATTCGTGGACGAGTACGACGCGTTTACATATTCATCTGCATTCATTCAACGTACTTAGATCTTTTAAACATGGATGACGTGCGTCTCGTTGCCATGCCTTTATGTTTCTACTTGATATTTATAGGCTCACAAATATTTATTTGGGGAGTGTGCAGCGTCCGTCACGCACTAGATGAAGCGGCGACCTGGTAAGATGTGCAGGAAGTCGATGGATGCAAATGGCTTAGTACCGTGGTTTGTGGCATTTCTTGGGGCCTATGTTCAGCAGTGAACTTGTGAATGGCTGTTTTGATGACGATGATGATGACGGTGAAATATTTATTTTCATTAATATTCATTTAAAACTGATTTCTAGGACCCCATATCACAGATTCTCCTTGGTAAAGTTCTATAAAATAGTGGGTTCGTTACTCCAATCCATCGCAGTAGTTAGGTATTATAATGTTTTAAATTATTTTACGAGAAAAATAAAGTTTAAATGTTCATGGGTCAAGCGAATAATGACGAGTATGTACACACCTAAAGAATACACGAGTATTCCTTTTACTCGTGCCAAAAAACCGACATCGCGTGGAGAATAGGCGAATACTCGGGCCGAGTAGCGAGAGGACCCGAACCGAACAAGGTGGTTTACATACTCGTACTCGTGGCTGCCTACTCGTCTGTGCTGGGCGAGTATTTAACGTTGCATTAAAACCTACCATAATTTAATAAAAAATTGATTGATTTAAAATCGGCTATTAGTTCATTTATTTGTCTCACCTGTAAAGATTTAAGTCCTTTTAATATGTTAGTATGCTGCTCGCATAGGCCACATTTAATCATAAACTCTTGACAGTCGTAGGGCACCGCCACCACATTAGGACAGGGTCGGTCTGAATCGCATCTGTAATTTACAGAAGTAATGATAAAAGGTCAAATATTTAAGAATTATCTGCATATTAAAATATCGGTACATATTGAGCCCCACACTATAGAAAAATTGCAAAAGCCAGCCTGCCTTCCAAGCGTGGCAAGTGGCAACTATGGCAAATATTTCCCCTTTGACGCAATCTGTCATGTTCAGCCGGGGAATTTTTGATAGGCTGTAAAGGTAACAGAGCTCAACACTAGTTCATAAGTATATTGTCAGACTGTGCGCCTAGACTTTGAGTCATCTGCATCCTTCGATTGATAGGACAGCGCATTACGTCGGTATGAGTCGCCTCTCCAGAAATATCTTTCAATCGGTTGTAGATTCTACAGCGGTTGGCATATTTTTCAATGTTAAATAATTCATATATATTTTTTGCTTTTTGTGTGTATAAAAAGTAAACATTTAACTTACTTAAACCTCATATAATTTTCTGTCATCTCCTCGTAAAGTGGCCAGTTTTGCTGACAAGGAACACAAGTGCAATCAAACCAATACTGTTCTTTCAAATTTGCTTGCCGTTTTTCTTTGGGCACAGTTGTAAAAATTGGACCGTAGTTCTCGGCCACTTCTTCTCCTTTCTTTATGTTTTTAACAGCTTTCACGACAATGTAGGGTCCGCAAAAATATCTAGACAAATATTCAAAGTGTTAGTTGAATCAAAAGTTCCTTAAATTAACAATAATGTAAGTAATTAACTTTTAATGACTTTGGGTAGTAGTTAATTTTCTTGCGCTGTGTAGTGGCGGCGTTAGAGAATTCTCTACCTTGTATCATCCCTTGGGTGCTGTCAGATCCGATAGAGGAAAATTAAAGATGAGATGGTCAGCAACATCTTCCAGATAGCAACTCAAAATAATAAAAGCGTCTGTTAAGCGTGGCAAATCCTGCAAATATTCCCCCGAGGCTATAATAAATAAATTAATAATTATATAGTAACTTCCATGAGGTGTTCGTGTAATCGCTATACTCTCTTAAATATATTGTAAATTTATGTGTGAATCCTTCAGCGGTTATGAAGTGGATCTCATAAGAGGGGCCTATAAGTTCTTGTGATCCTTCGATAGATGGCGGTACCATTACCATTACAGTCTGTGTCAAAATTCCACTGTAAAACCTTTCCCAATCATTGCCTTATAGGGGGGAATATTTGCCATAGTTACCACAGGTTAGCAACCGTAGTTTATTTTACGCATCTTCCGATTTGTTTCTTTCTGTCGCCTATGAGGATACTCGCGGGACGATATGTGCCATGAAACCACCACCAGAAATGAGAAACAGCGTCAAACATGTAAGGAGTCTAGTATTGCGATCATCATGCTAAGCGTGGCGTTTACGATAAATAAATTGGTTAATTAAGTACGGCATGTTATTGTAAATAAAGTAGGGAGAAGCTCATGTAATCTTTACGGACTGACTATTACATGCAATTAGCGGGTCATCATTCTTTTGTGTCCAATATTTCACGCATTCGAACTAAACGGTTTGCTTCGTTCTTTTTTTCGTAATGCTTAGGTACAGTTAAGGGCCTATACTAACCTCACCTAAAATTCTAATTTAGCCCCCACTTCCCCGCGCGTCGTGTCGTATGTACCGACATGTTTGTAATCACTAATACTGTAAGTAGATAGGTCGTTAGATACTTATTTCATTAGGTTTATCATATTTATGCCTGTTTCTTTAAGCCAACCCAGTCGCTTCTTATTTTTATTACGGTTATTTCCCATTTTAATTTTACTTCGTCCTGTTGCGTAATGTGTATTGTGATCGTAGGCGACACAGTTTTCCCGTTCGAAAGCCGAAGCGAGACTGATCGGGCGCCGGGGAAGAAGGTTCAGGACGCCGAAAGTTTAGGTAATTTCTTATTACAGTGAAAATAATGGTAATAAAAAAAAATAAAAAACATAAGCTCTGCTTTTATAGTTAGTTCAGTTAGTATGAGAAGTTTCATGATCTAATTTAAAGTACTTATTTTATGAATACTAGCGGTTTATTGTACAGTTTGGATGTAACTTTGGATTTTTTCTATCGAAATTTTTTCACGAAATCGTGTTCTAGTCTAACATAGTACTAAACATTAATCCTCAACTTTACCATATATTTATTTCAAAATTAATGCTGCAATATTTTCAGCATAACCAAAGATCTTACTAAGCCATTTGAGGTAGCATAGGCCCTTAAGGAGTGGAATAATTTGCCGGCGTCTGTCTTTCCGTCTTTTGGAATCTGGATGTCTACAGGGCAAAAGTAGGTAGGATTTTGTTATGCTAAGAGAGTGCAGTTTACCATCAGGGGCTACATCACCACTTACCACCAGGTGGGATTCTATACAAGCACTGGCTTATTATAAGTAACAAAAGATCAGTGACTGCAAGGCATTGGGCAGCATTGCCCTTGAAAGTTTACCGCATACACACACGTCCCACAAGCACAGAAGCTGGGAACTCATCTTTTTTTTAAATTTCTTAGTACGTAAATGCAAAGTTTGGTCCCCACCGGTATATTAGTGCAGTTAAACTTTGCTTCCTTTCAAGACATTGAATAGAGCTATTTTTACGGATTTTATCACGTATAATTTTACTTATTTTTTATTTTCGACGCTTCGAGTACTTTGCAGCTTTGGTCACGGGTGACTGAGGTGCTTGACGTACCGATGTCAAAGTAAACCTGAAGTACTTGTAAGACATTAGAAAAGTAAGTAGTATAAGAATATTTCAGGACTGTATTGGTAGATCCCTTGCGGTACCATTCTATCGTATTAGTGCAGTAGCAGTTGGAAGTATTAATTTAGGTATTTAAATCTTACCTTACAACACTAGGATCACATGAATGATTGAATAAAGCGAGGGTCGGAAATATAGCACCAGCCAAGAAGACCGATTTCCCGTTATGCTTTATAATATTATTCCCAACCCTTGGTTTTGGGCACTGCAATTCAAATACTTCATGTGCATTAAATTGTAAGATTTGTAGATTTTTCAATATTAGACCTCCTATCAAAGCAACAGCTTCGTTATGCTTTTCATCAACACCCATAGATTTAAGTTCGTCGATTTCCACTGGTTTTTCTCTCGGTTTTTCATCGAAGTAGCCGCTTATTTCGAGGAGTTTTACCAAGAAACTGCCATTTGAGATCTATGTAAGAAATCCTGCTTGGTTCTCTCGTCTTCATGAGCGACTAAGTGATAGATGTTTCTGTAATCGTTTGTCTTGTAGACACCGGTTGGCTTATCGTCGATATTAGCACTGATTTCATTGAAGTATTCTTTTCTGTTCTGTGTAATCATTCGTAAAGCTATATGGCAAGTGACGGAGCAGCCTGATTTCCATAGGAGAGGTAAAATTTGGCATTCGTAGTTGTGATAAGTTTTTTGGGCAGTATCCGAACATTTTTCGCTGCAGAATACGACATTTGGACAATTCGGGCATGGCAGTGGAATAGAACATCTGAAATACAGATCGTAGAACATCATTATATTAGAAAATACTGTCTTAGTGAGTTAGAAGAAGAATCATCTAATAAGTTACCAATGCAGTCTTTGCTTTGTTTGAAATAGAAAGAGAGTCTAGACTAACAATAATTAGTCGTAGAAAATGAGAAATCTACCAAAAAATAATTTTTGGTAGATTTCTAATTTTTTACGACTCCTATCATGTAATCAAATCATGCTTTTTTTGCTTGCGATACTATGCTTGCTTGCGATATGCGATGCGATGCTTGTGATATAATTACAAACACACATGTTTCCATCTCTTAATGCATACACACGCACATACACTCGTACCAACACACCACCCTCATCACATTATTACTTTATATACAGTAATTTCATTGTACAGTATTACAATATCGACGCAGGTAAAGGTATCTTAAACTATACACTGCAAAATTATGTGTTAACATTGCTGAAGATAAAAAAAGATATTTAAAAGTATTGCAAAAAAATGTAAATCTGTAAAGGCTTCTATTTTACATAACACGTCCGAAAATTGTTTATATATATATATATATATATATATATTGGTAAAATAAAGCTGTAGATTTTTTTCTAAAAATTATATCTGCATTTTAATTTAACAAGAACAAACATACAGACCCGAAACAAATATTTTTACACTATTTTTATTATTGACCCGGAACAAATATTATATTTTTAGGCTATACAAATACTAATAGAAAGCATGTGGTTGAACAAGGACTGCTCGACGCTTATTAATCCGTAAGCAGCCATCTGTGATTGGTGATGATAGGCTATTCATGGAACTACGAAAACTCGACTGTTGATCAATTATTACAATACTTTACTACATATTTAATACCTTTTTTGCATCAAAATGAAATATTATTATTACACAAATTCTTAATTTATGTAACAATAATATTTGAGTTTGAATTCGAAATTCAAATAATGAGTGATTTATGAAAAGACTTACTTAATGAAGCAATTCTGGCAATGTGTCTTTGAGTATTCTCCTAAGAGTACTCCGCTAAAAGGTTTCTCAATTAGCAAAGTCTCTCCGGCTTGTATATCTCTAGTAGCCGTTGCATATCTTCCCTTTTTCTCGTCAAAATCTATTTGTATGGCTTCAGAAGCGGCTGGATACTGAGCATTATTTTTGCCCGGTAACTTTGGCTTTGGTGGTGTCTTTTTCAATGGCTCTGGATCTTTTGGGTTACCAGCTAACGTGAGACCTTTGTTCAATATCTCCAACATAAGTTTAGCATCTGTTCGCATTTTTTGCCTTTTCTCCTTGTTGAGGCCTTCAGCTTCATCAAGCGCACTTATGGTATTTCTGTAACGATATTTGTTTTTTTTTAATTTATGCGAATATTAAATTATGATTTAATTTCTGATGTTTCGTGTTAGTGGACTAAACTACTATTGAGTGCAGTGGTTAACAGCTCCCAATAGAAATGCCGGGAATTTAAAATTATAATTAAAAGTGATAAAATCCTTAAATTAGATTTATTTACTGATATTTGACTCCAGATAGAATAGAAAAGGATTTACTTTACATAGGTGCGGTTTCTATGTACCTAATTAACACATAAATAAAAGTATAGTCTGCATGTTTAAAACTTTCAAAGTAAAAAAAAGTTTATGTTTTTGTTTTTAAATTTAGATTTCATAATTTACGTTTAACACCATGTTTTACTTACTGAAAAGCAGTTATAGCTTCCTGATTTCTTTTTAATACGAGCAAAGTCCTCGCCTTTCGTTCATACACCTTGTATCTTAGATGTCGAGGGTAGCCCAACGACAGGCAGCGTTTTATGTCGGAGAGTGTCTCTTCATACTGTTCTAGGTGATTTAGAGCGGCTGATCGATTTGCGTACAAAATTGAAAGCTCTTCGGCTGTAAAATAGCGAATAATCATGAGTACCTAGTTAAAGTTGCAACCTATATACGTCCCACTGCTGGGCCCGGGACTCCTCTCATTTCTGAGAGAGTTTTTAGGGCAAGAAAATATCCGCCGCGTTGTACCAATGCGTGTTGGCGAAATTCACATGTCTTTTAAATATTTTGTTTCTTATTTCGAAGACATGCAGTTTTATATCACGATGTTTTCCTTCACCGCCGAGCACGTGGTAAATCAGTACTTAAAATAATTGCAATTAACAATTTCATTGGTTCCGGCGGGATCGAAGCGCTTAGCCCCTGAGCTACCACGGCTGAATAACTAGTTTGTTTTTATAATAAAAGTAGGAAGATAGACTTCGCAAAGATAATACCCGCAGTGGAATTAAAGTAAGCGACATAGCGAAGAACGAATAACCGATGGAAAAGAGAGGTTCTCGAGTGAAAGCCTGGCACCGGCAAGCGAAGTGTAAGACAAGCCCTCACTGGATAAGATAATAGTGACCACCTGGTAAGAGACGCAGGAAGTCGAAGGATGGCGGCTCAAGACAGTGGTTTGTGACTTTCCTTAGGGAAGACCTATGTTAATTGGTGGACATGTGATGGGTTATAATGATGATGGTGATGAATAAGGGAAGGTATTATTTATAAGAAATAAATATCTTAATAACAGAAGTAGATCTTATATTATTACGTGGTAGAACCATGTTGCAGCTATATTAATAATATAATTGTAGCATGAATGGATCGGCTCGACCGGGAAAGGACCACGCTCTCACCGAATACCAGCGTAAAATAGGAGCTTAACGATGATGTGTTTCGTATGGTGGGTGTAGAGAAAAGGAGACCCTTTTTACTGGAAAAGAAGCATTCTATCTTAGTTCTCACAGGTGAAAACGCATCTGCATTTTGATTCGTGATCGAGGATTGATGTAGATGTCTATGGGCCGCAGCAACCACTTACCATCAGGTGGACTGTGTACTCGTTTATCACCCTATCCTATAAAAAAGATGGGTATTAAGAAACTTGCCCAAGTGCGCGTTGGAAACACGTGCCAAATAGGGTTCAGCTGTGTTTACTTATCTGTAATATTTTCAAAAGTTTAAAAGCTAACTGCTAACTGCTAAGCTAACACCTTCCCACAGCGGGAGAGCCTTATATCCAGCAGTAAACATTTGTGGGATGACGATGGTTTTACTGAAAATTGGAACCAACAATAATGATATACCTACTTCGTACTTTTTATCATAATCAGTTTCAGTATGAGAATATAAAAGTTATGAAATTGATAAACATTTAGGGCAGACGGCATTATAAGGATTCAAACGTAACATCGGAACCTAAAAAGTGTACCTTAAACACAAATCACTTGAGATGATTTTGACGGTTTATTGATTTCTTGTTATGATATTAGCAAATATAGAAATCTAATAAGCGTTTGAACGTATACTGGAAAATGTTTTATAATATCACTTACTCTCTTTTCGCGGTACAAATAGCATGCTTTGGCTGTAAAGCTGTAAAGCTTTAGCCCAATCGCCCTTTTGCACGGCTTTGTTACCTTCATCTTTCAATTTCCGCGCTTTTTCCAAGTCTTTTTTAACGGGAAATTCGCCACCTGTTTCACTTTTTTCGATATCACCTCTGAGATCATATGATTTTATAGCAGGAAGGCTGCATAAGTACAAGACACGTTTTGAATTGGTTTCCAAATTAGTGAAATTATTTTTCGTCACATCGTCCATACAGTTGTCAATACTCTCGTGAAATTTCTTGAAGAATCCCTCATAGTTCGCGCACATGTTTTGTTGTTTTGTTGTGAAACCAACCAACGCAACCGCTCTACGTATCGACACTGGTGTTTGTTAAAATATACTTGCTGAAATAACAACAGAATACTTATGGTAGAAATATCGAGAAAATTTAAGGTTAACTACAGCGAGTACGAGAAAGCCGGCTCACCGACGGCGGAGATCAATCTGTATTTCTATTTTTATAATTGGATCACGGTGGTCCGTGCGTTGCTTCAGCCGTTTCACAGCCCTGATTTTATGTTATTAACGTATGAAAATTCAAATTGTTACACGCACGCACGCGTGCTTTGGAAACGTAAATAAACTGGTTATAGTTAGTATTTTGTTTTGTATTTGTAATAGAAACGTAATGCTGTTTCTGATATCTGAATCTATTTTATATAACAGTTGTACGGTTGTAGCCCTCGTCCTAATTCAATTCAACGCGCAGTGCACTTGTTCAATACGTACGCACATAAAACGTCAAAAATAGATTAGTAATGCGTTTTTAAGATAAGAAATTCGAGAGTTTTGCTAATTTCAATCCGTTTGTATTAAGGTTTATAGCCGACTTAAAAAAAGGAGGAGGACAATCTCAATTCGACTGTATGCTTTTTTGTATGTATGCTCTGTGTATGCTTTATCTTCGTCGTATGGGACCCTTTTAATAATTACTTTTTTATTAAATAGGTTATGTACCTTAAGGTATTCCAAATAAATTATTTTAGTTATCATCTTTATCTTTTCATATCAAAAATAAACTTTTATCAAAAACTAAAATTTTGGTTGTTACATTTTATTTAAAGCATACAGAGTTATAACTTGTGTACTCACTATTTCATTTGTCATTTTCTAATTGAACCGTTGATTAAACAAATACTGAAGTATTTATTGACATGAGATTTTGTTTGAAGAAGAAGAAGTCCAAGCACTTATTTCATTTATTGGTGCGATGTATTTTGATCATAAATTTTACTATGAAACAATCCCTTCCATGTTTTTTTTGTGCTTATTTCGTCCAAATTATGGACATAAAACATTGATTTATATAACTCAATGACATAAAAGTAAACCGTAACGTAGTAGCCTATTTACGCCATGGAGGCTTTCTTTTTAGAGGGATATAGGTTTTCGGAGCAAAAGAGATTTATTATTACTTCGTTGTAGCCGGACTTCGCGCGTTTTTATTATTTTTAAATTTTGAGATATGCAATTTTCTATAGTTTTCAAATTCATAAATAACGTTATCTATAAAAATTCGTTGGGTACCTAACTTTTGACTTTTACTATCATTTTTAAATATGTTTTATTTATATTATGGTTATATTATGTTTACCTTCTGTAATAATGTAATATTAATTATTACTCTACCAATAGTAATGATATTGAAAAGTTGTACTGGTTTGGTTTGTACTGGATGAATAAATAATTAAAAAATCTATAGTAATAAAATAAAAAAAAGTCATATAATCAGTGATGTACGCGCACACTGTAAACTATAGTTATTAAGTATACCTATGGGTGCCGACAGAATAACAGGGTTGTAGATTCTCTGCAACACATGCTGAGTCAGAACCCTTTCATTGTCATTCTTACAATATTATTTTTGTATTAGGTAGTTTAACTTTTAAATGTTTTGTTACTTTTCGTCAATGAATTAATATTTTATTATTATTGTTATTATTAAAATGCAGATGCGTTGACAGTTGACACCCTTGAAGACTAAGATAGAATGGATCGTAAAGGGTCTCCGGTTCTCTACACTCACCATACGAAACAACGGAATTGAGCTACTATTTTACTCTGATATTCTGTGAGAGCGTGGTCCTTGCCCGATCGAGCCGACCCATTCGTGCTACAACCATAATATTGCTGCAGCGTAGCTTTTACCAGGTAAACAGCTGGCAACAGATATATTCATATATAAGCCAGAATAGAATTTCTGTTATATGTGGTAAGTATACTAAAATTGACGATACTTATTTCAACTGTTACAAATATTTTAACGGGTTAGTGTAAATTTTCAAATATTACACATATTATATATTTCATATTAAACACAGTATGTAGATGAAATCTATTTACAATCAATTAGAATGTCCATTATAAAAACTCGTCGTCGCATTCGTTTAACAAAACTGTTTACAAATCAATTTTCGTTTTGATCTTAATTTAATTCACATCAGGTGTCTTCATGATAGATCTGCGCCTGGTATTGGTGTAAATTTTTAAGGAAGGGAAGTAGTATATTATTCTGTAGCTAGTGTATTTAATAAAGCTTGAATGACGGTTTTTTTTAAGTCATATATAAAAGCAAGGGTGATTAGCGAGCATACAGTGGAATTCTAAGGAAATTTGAAGAATATTTTCCTACCCCTGAGGTTCGAAAAATAGGGGATGAAGTTATTTATGTAACTATTAAGACGACATTCCAACTTTTTGATTTCACGCAGTGACGTTGGTTGGGATGCTGCAGGGTTCGAATCTCTTACAGAACGAGTGTTTGTACGACCGAAAAATAATTGTTCTGGGTCTGGATTTGTGTACTTGTGCGATTTGTATATTATTTAAATCAACTACAGAAGAGAGAGAGAGAGAGAGAGAGAGAGAGGGAGAGAGAGAGAGAGAAAGATAGAGAAGAGAACATTTTATGTGGTGGTCAGGTCGTTTTTAAATCAAAAATAAATAAGAAAGGTGTTGTTAAGTGGCTGTGGCAAATAAACACTTGTATTTATTTTCTGACTAGACTGGTGGAATGCCTGATTATAAAAAACATGGTCTTGTTACTCATCACTAAAGACAAAGTAGCACAATATTGCTACGGTTCTTTTTATAGAATTAGGGTGACAAACGAGCACACAGTCCACCTGATGGTAAGTGGATCCTGTGGCCCACAGACATCTACATTTAACCACGATTGAGAATCAAAACGCAGGTGCGTTGTCACACCTGAGGACTAAGATGGAATGCCTCGATTCCAGTGAAACGGGTCTTTGGTTCTCTACACGCACCTTACGAAACACAGCAGCATTAAGCTGTCATTTTACGCTGGTATTTTGTGAGAGCGTGGTCCTTCCTCGGTCGAGCCGACCCATTCATGCTACAACCATAATATACTTAGCTGCAGCGTGGCTCTACCATGTATAGAACCTGCACACTTTCATTTATTTTATGACTATACTGATGGAATGCCCCGTTATAAAAAAATCTGGTCTTCGTTACTTATCAATTACTATAAAAGACATAGGAGCACAATATTGCGACTTTACGCTGGTATTCTGTTAAATCTTAGTGTTTTCCTTTTCAAGTCAACCTCTCTTTCACCTATTTCGAATTTCTAAAATTTTCTGTGCAGAACGCTATGTTACGAAGTTAAAACTTTGTTTTGATTTATGAATGCTTTACGCTGGTGATCTATGTGAGCCCGGTCGAGTCAACCCATTTGAGTTTTAGCAGTAACATAGAATAACGATTTATTGGCTTCAATTTCTGAATACTCTTGAAAATTTTCAACTACGCTGGGTAATTTAATTTACTTGATTAATAATTTATTTACCCACATACATTTTACTTTAGTTACATAGTAACTATTATTTAATCTGTGCTTTAGTTAGGCAGTTTGATAAGCAACGTATGCAATTCGAGTTTTGTATACTGTGTAGGATGCGGTCTGTTAACTTGACTCCTAAGATACTGTGGTCTATGTTTCGTTGGTACTCCCCAAGCGCGGACCTCTAACGTCCCATCAAAGGCCAGATTTGTGCACCGTAGCTTAGTCTAGAGAGAATGCACATGCCATAAATATTTTCTCGAGGTCTTTTAGTTTAGGTTAGGTTAGGTCATACGGAATTTACGGTTCAAAAGATACTCCATTCGTTATCGGTGCGATGTGCAAGTCCTTTATCTTGAAACGAATTGGTATACATGGTACAATGGTATACATTTATTTGGTAATTGGTCCAAATAAATGTAATCATGGACATATTCAACTCCTACGTCTGATATTTGTTATAAGATTGGTCTTTGAGGTTTTGAGCTTACATAATGATTTCTTATATTTACGCGTGCACTACACATTGATTAAAACTACTTTTACGGATTTTATCGCGTCTAATTTTATTTATGTTTAATTCCCGACGTTTCGGGTGCTTTCCAGCACCCATGGTCACGGGGGACAGAGATGACTGACGTCCCGATGTCGTTGTTAAACTCGGAGTACCTTCAGTTTTTTTTTAAATTATTAGGTTTAGTTTTAATTTTATTGATTATAGGGTCCCAAGCAGGTGGTAGTACCCAGCCTCCTTCTCTATTGAAATTAGGATGTTTTTTAATTTCAGTAGCCTCACGTATCATCCTTGGTAGGAATCGGTGCTCTTTCACGAGGATTTGTGATCTATCAGATCTGATGTAATGGTTGGGTCCGTGTAGGATATGATCACAAACTGCAGACTTCCCGGAACGCTATATGTCCTTTTACGCGGGTTCTAATTGATCTTTTTGTTAGTCCTATATAAGAGAGACCACATTCACAATCAAGCTTGTACACTCCTGCATCTTGTAGAGGAATATGACACTTGACAGATGGTAAGAACTGACTAATCTTCTTCAACGGCTTGCACAATGTTCTAACAGAAGCTCGCTTCAAGATGTAGCCAATCTTGTCTGTGACATCTCTGACATATGGTATTACGGCAGGCACACGCTTGACTGTGGCCGGCTTCACTGTTGTGCAGAACTTGCTTGACGTGCTGAAGCTCGGCGGCCAGGTGTTTCTGTCACAGATCCCTCGTGCTGTCGGTAACACGAACGTCGGGAATTAAAAATAATTAAATTTTTATTGATTAAAAATTAGTTTTAATCAATGTGTTGAGTTTGTTAATGCCGATTGCTATTATTAAGTTTATGTCGTCGAAAAATTGAAGGTTTGTTAACCTTTTATCACCAACGATAATGACCCTTCTCGCTTATTTCTGTGAACTGTTTAGAAGGTAGTGGGTCTCCATGAGTCT